GTCCTTGTTGGCTGCATTCCAAGTAGACCTGGTTGGGCCATCTGTGGTGTCACTCTCAGTTTCTTGATTCACAGGAATCACTGGTACAGACAGTATGGAATCAGCATTCGGCGCTTCACTAATCTTCTCATCATGAATTGGTTGGTCTAATAGTGAAGAGGTTGCTGTTTCCTTTTGGTCTGTTACCAGCTCCTGGTAGGAGGACTCCTCTGATGAATTGCTGGATGCCTGAGCATTTACAACTGACTTGTTGCTATGCTCAGGCAAAGCATTACTCCTAGAAGGCTGTGTGTTGATAGTCAAGTCCGGTATTTGTTGACAGTCATATGTTTTATCAATATCCAGAGTTGTTTGGCAACTAGCAGTTGAATGCTCACTACTCTGTTGCCATAACTCAACAGATCTGTCTTCCGAATCATCTTTGTCCTCTATGTCTGGTGTTGTTGAAATTCCAGGAACATGAAGACCATTCTGTAACACCATGGTTTTCCACTGCATACCAGCAGGTGATACATCACCACTCTGTATTTGTGGAAAACCTGGTGGACTCTTACAGGTAACTGTCGACATCTGCTGCTGCTGGTGCACTGCTGCAGTAAGTGTTGGCTGCTGCTGCTGATGGTTTACTGGTGCAGGCAGGACAGATTCACAGCTGCTGGTGTCTCCAGGTTTCAATGTTGAAGAACCATTTGATAGTTCCTGGCCGTAGTTGTTGGGAATTTCATAAGTTGACATAGCAGGACTTTGCACAGCTCCCCCATCTTGTAATTGGACTGAGTCTGATGGTGTTGGCATTGGTGGACCTCCATACATGCATGGTTGCGGGTATGCCATCTGAGGTACCATGCATCCAGGTGGGAACATTCCAGAATATGGGCCATATGCATATGGAATGCTTGGACAGGGCTGTGGTGGTCCAAGGAATGGTTGTGGTAATGGTCCACCATATCCAGGAAATGGCACTGGGTAGTTCCCAAGGACTGGTGCACAGGGATAAGGATACCCACATTGGCCTGGATTGAAAGATGGCATGTATGGTCCACCATAGAATCCATGAGGTGCTGTACCAGGTGTCATTGCTGAGTTCATCTTGTTGTTTTCAGTAGTTCAAAGTTACGGAAATGATTACGCCGTGTTATAGCCATTTTACTCATGTTCAAATTTTAGCGCCATTATGTCAGTGTATTACGTCACAAGTTTTTGGGTACACATAATTTTCTTGAGTACTGCACGAGCAGTGACATTCGCTGGAAGGTATCGTTCTCTGGTCTGTACTTTTGTTCAATGCATCTCTGGAATTGGGGAAAAACTACTTATTCGGTAAGCCAATTATTCAAACACCAGCACACCCATATGTATTTGTATGCATTTCTTGTATTTTACTTATGAATCAGTATTTTTTTATACTCTGTTAATGGTCTATATAGTCGAGCATATTGGATAATCATTACATCTTATGTAAAGCTACATTTACAGATTTATTATATTGAACACAATATTCTTAAACTATTTATAAGATTTATTGATAGGTCTGCTTATCTGTTGTTTAGGATAGGTGTTAATGCATTAGGCTTAAACTGTGTATCGCAAGGGCGATAACTCTCATATCCATTTGTAAACACCAGTTTCGAAAGTTAGATATTTTTATGCATACTCAGTAATATATAGAACGTTAACTTATAATGTATCATTTTTGGTTATAATCTTTGGTATTGATAGCATATATACTGGAATATATTCCATATGTCAATATGTCAATTTTCTAGTCTGAATTGTCTCTGTTTATTGGTATTGCATTGTGTTACAAGAATTTTTTTTTACAATTTTGTTTATTTACTTTACAGTAAATCGTATGTTGACGTAGGATGAACCGTATGATGAAAGTATGATGAATCGTATGATGTCAGTCATGTGATGATGTATTATGGATTGCATGAGAACTATGACATATGATGAAACTTATGAGTGAATGTTCCTATGAATGAAGTTGAATAAAGACATACGCATTTACAATTTCTCAATCTTTCTCTGGGCATTGAACAGTACATCATTTACGAATAAGTATCAACAGCCATGTGTGATGCAGAAGAAAGTGATACAGAAGAGCAGCCAGGACAGAGGCACAGAGTGATGACCGAGAAAGGACTTTTTTACCAAATGCAACAAAAGTTAAAGTTTAGAAGAAGTTGTGATCAGAAACTGTCCAAAGTAAGTGATAACATAGAACTGTTACTGCTGGAAAATCCGAGCAAAGATACAGTTAAAAATGAGTATAAGAAGTGGATGCAGATATACGAGGATTTGATTGTGTCACATAAAGAATATCAAGATTTGATGTATTTGACACCATCTGAGAAAATCGAGGATGATGAGAATTTTCAGTCTAGGAATAGAAGATTCACAGCTCTGAAAGATTCTATAGAGGATTGGATCTTGCGGCACACAACACCTGACAATAAATCAGTGCGGTCCAAACCCAGTACAAGTTCTTCTTCAAGTCATCTTTCCATGGAAAAGTTAAAAGAACAACAGCGGAAAGCAGAACTCATTGCCAGAGCCTCAGCATTACCAAAAAGAAAGGAATTAGAAGAAGCTAAACTACAACTGAAACTACAAGAAGAAGAACTTGAAATAAAAAAAGAAATAGAAATAACGGATGCGAAAACTAAAATTATCGAAGAAATGGAAAGGAGTGTTATGAGGAATTTGGACTTAGAAGAATCTCTTAAAGATCATGCAAGTGACAAACCTGAAACAAAAGAAACTGCAACATTAAATCCGTGTGCACCACCATGGGAAGACAGAAGAAAATCGTTACACTCACATGAAACATCTTTTATGTGTCAACCACAGAATGCACCTTACGTACATGTGCCTCAGTATACGCATGCATTTCAAAACACTTCACATGAACCGTTACCAAGAAACGTACCTCAAGATACGTACAATGCGTATATTCCTACGCCACCTCAGACGCCAGCTCTTCATGTCAGTGATAACCTTGTGCCGCATATTGTGTCTTCGCAACCATCTCCTTCAGTGCCAATTCAGACATCGACCAATAGTGATCATGGTATCTTGACTGTTGCGCGAGAACTGAACAAGCCAAGATCGATTATTCAAACCTTTGATGGAAATCCAATGGATTACAAGAGATTCCTGAGACAGTTCAACACAAGAATTTCATCAAATACAGACTCCTTTGAAGAACGGTTGAACTACCTGTTGCAATATACATCAGGGGAAGCATATAAGATTGTCTTAGGATATTCACATATGGATGCAGAACATGGATTCAAAGCAGCGCTAGACGAATTTAAAGACAGATATGGAGATGCTGATATATTAGCTCAATCGTATGTGAAAAAGGCATTAGAGTGGCCAGTTATAAAGACTGACGATGCAAAGGCCTTGGACGCTTATGGCATTTTCCTTAAAGAGTGTCAGTTTGCTATCGAAAACGTTGAAGCGGCTAGAGTTTTGGAATATTCAGAAAACTTAAAACTGTTAGTGAAAAAGTTACCATACTACTTACATGAAAAATGGAGAAACGTGGTGTATGACGTTAAAGAAAAACATCAGATCGTGAAATTTCAACATCTTGTCAATTTTGTCTATAAAGAAGCGAAGAAAGCTACAGATCCTATCTATGGAAGAGATATTTTGAGCAACATTAAAACAACAACCAAAGGTTTTCAAGATGGACAGCGTAGTCAACCTGGTAAATCGGTAAAGTTTTCCGGTACACACAAAAACTTTGCGATTACTATGAATGAATCATCAAAAAATGTTCAGTCAGGCGCATGTAGTGATATGTATATAACACAGAGACAAAAGCCAGGATGTGTTTTCTCAGATCCTTGTATATTTTGTAATGGAGGTCATTCACTGGATGTGTGTAGAAAGTATATGAATGTATCCTTGAAAGACAGATATTCATTTCTAAAGTCCAAGGGCTTGTGTTTTGCATGTCTAAGACCCGGACATCTCAAGACTAATTGCAAACAAAAATTGACTTGTAGTCATTGTCAAAAACTTCATCCTACTATTCTCCATGTAAATCCACAGAAGAAAGATGACAGCCGAAAGAATTCAAGTGATGGAGATGGTAGTGAAGCAACAGCTTTGTCGGTGGCTGCTCATAAGGGGGCTGGAGAAACTGTGAAGCAGGCATTACCCATTGTGCCTGTTAGACTAAAGTCCAAGTACAGTGACAAATATGTGACAACATATGCCTTTCTAGATTCAGGAAGCAACGCTACGTTTTGTTTAGAGACTCTTGTGCATTCCTTAAACATTGAGGGAAAGAGAACAAAGCTGAATCTCGTTACCATGGGACAAGAAAAAGTCCAAGACACTTACGTCATATCAGATTTGGAAGTAAGTGATATTCACGGAGAAAATACATTTGAACTGCCGCCTGTCTTTACGCAGTCTACATTACCAGTGTCCAGAAAGGACGTGATTTCTCCAGAAGACTTAAAAGAATGGCCACATTTACGTAACATTGACTTGAATGTGATTGAGTGTGATGTAGGACTTTTGATTGGTGTCAATGCACCAAAGGCATTAGAACCGTGGGATGTTGTTCCTAGTGCAGAAAATGGTCCCTTTGCAGTGAAAACCTTACTAGGCTGGGTCATCAATGGGCCACTGGAAGTGACTCCAAATGACAACAGTAATTTGTGTGTATCCATCAATCGCATTGACGCAAGGAGGCTAGAAGAGCAGATTCGTAACCAGTTTAACTACGACTTCAGTGAGAGGACAATTGATGACATACATGAGCCATCCAGAGATGACAGGAAGTTTTTAGATCTTGTATCAAAGTCTATATGTTTTGAGGACGGACATTATCAAATTGGACTTCCATTTAAGTCTAATGATGTCAGATTACCAAATAACAAAAACAAGCTGAACAACGGTTATCGTCTCTTGTAAAACGATTCAATCGTGATGAAAACTTTCACAGTGAATATTGTGAGTTTATGAACAAGATTATGAACGAAGGATATGCTGTCAAAGTTCCAACTGAAGATACAGAGCAAGTAGATGGCAAAGTTTGGTACCTGCCACATCATGGAGTGTATCATCCAAAGAAGAAAAAGTTGAGAGTGGTGTTTGATTGTGCGGCTAGATTTCAAGGCACATCATTAAATGATCAACTTTTACCTGGACCAAACTTAACTAGTTCACTTGTGGGTACACTATTGAGATTCAGACAAGAGGAGATTGCAGTGATGGGAGACATAGACAGTATGTTTTACCAAGTTCATGTACCAAAACAAGATGCAAGCTTCCTTAGATTTCTGTGGTGGGAAGATGGAGACACGACTAAGAAGATCGTAGAGTATCAGATGGTAGTACACTTGTTTGGCGCATCATCATCGCCTAGTTGTGCTAATTACGCTCTTAGAAAAACTGCTAGAGATTCTGAAGAACTCTTTGATTCTGAGATCATCAACACTGTGTTTAAGAACTTTTATGTTGATGACTGTCTTAAGTCTGTCAAGACTGTTGATTGTGCTATTGACTTAATTAAGGATATACAAAGACTTCTTACTCGGGGAGGATTTCACATTTCAAAGTGGATAAGCAACAACAGAGATGTCATGATGACAATTCCAATCTCAGAGCGAGCAAAAGAAGTCAAGGGCCTCGACTTAGATTATGATGCACTACCGATTGAAAGAGCCTTGGGAGTTCAGTGGTGTGTGGAATCAGATGTGTTCCGTTTCAACATAGAAGTTAATAAGAAACCCCTTACACGAAGAGGAGTCTTATCCATGATAAGTAGTGTTTTTGATCCTTTAGGATTTCTGGCACCGTTCGTGCTGAGAGCAAAGAAAATACTTCAGGAGTTAAGTAGAATTCATCTTGGATGGGATGATACCATACCTCAGAAATTTTCCGAACAATGGAACAGCTGGTTTTGTGACCTACAGAAGTTATCAGAATTTAGGATAGACAGATGTGTTAAACCTGTTGGATTTGGAACAGTGTGTTCTGCCCAATTGCACCATTTTTCGGACGCCAGTGAAGTTGGTTATGGGATTGTGTCTTATCTGCGATTGGAAAATGTCAACAACGATGTCCATTGTTCTTTCATAATGGGAAAGTCGCGTGTGGCTCCTTTGAAGCACACAAGTATCCCAAGACTAGAACTAACAGCAGCAACAGTTGCCGTGCGTACCGATAAAATGCTAAAAGCAGAATTAGACATTCCTATAGACGAAACTGTTTTCTGGACAGACAGTATGGCTGTGTTACGTTACATTAGAAATGAAACATCAAGATTTCACACATTTGTAGCTAACAGACTTGCTGTTATTCATGAAGGATCAACACCACAGGAATGGAAATATGTTAATACCAAACTCAATCCTGCAGATTATGCTTCAAGAGGACTTTCAGCAAATGAAATAGTGCAGCAAGGACGCTGGATCCAAGCTCCAGAATTTCTATGGACTTCTGTTGGTTGTTGGCCAGAAACACCTACAGAAAATTTGCGTGAAATACTAGATGATCCGGAAGTGAAAAAAGCATCAGTTAGAGCATTAGTAGCTGATATACACAAGGCAGAACCAAGTGTTGACCTGATGGGTGTTGAGAAACTTATCAATCATCATTCTTCTTGGTATACGTTAAGGAAAACTGTGGCATGGATTTTGAGGATCCACAGCACACTACTTCATCGTATTCAACGAAAGAAACTTATTGACAACCCATCATCTAATGAAAGGGTTGGATCCCCACCAGATGTCTTGGGACACATTTCGCTTCAGGACTTACAGAAAGCTGAAATCGCTATTTTGCGATATGTACAACGTGAAACATTCTGTGATGAACTGAGTACTCTTGCAGAAGGAAACTCACATGTGAAGCGAAACAGTTATATACGGAAACTCGACCCAGTTTTCGATGAAGATGGACTTTTGCGGGTAGGAGGACGACTTCAGAGAGCCAATATGCCAATTGAATGTAAACATCCTATTATCTTACCCAAGAACCATCACATTTCGACTTTGATTCTCAGACAAATCCATGAAGACTTGAAACATAGTGGTAGAAACCATATGATGGCAGTTTTGAGGGAGAAATATTGGCTAGTTCATGCAGCTTCAGCAATACGTAAACTTGTCTCAAAGTGCACAATATGTCGTCGTCAAGGATCAAGTGTTGGAGAACAAAAGATGGCCAGTTTACCAGAAGATAGACTGATCCCAGATGAACCACCATTCACCAGAGTAGGTGTAGATTATTTTGGACCATTTATCGTGAAACAAAAGAGAAGTCATGTGAAACGATATGGAGTTCTATTTACATGTTTGACCAGTCGTGCAGTTCATTTAGAAGTAGCAGCATCTCTGGACACCGACTCATACATCAACGCACTACGTCGCTTTATTGCTCGCAGAGGTCAAGTTGTCAGGATGCGATCAGACAATGGTACCAACTTTGTAGGAGCTGAGCGGGAGTTAAGGAGTGCCATCAACGAATGGAATGTGTCTTAGATTGAAGATTCTATGCTACAAAAGAATATTGACTGGAAATTCAATCCACCTGCGGGATCTCACCATGGGGGAGTTTGGGAAAGAATCATCAGATCCGTCAGAAAAACCTTGAATAGTGTACTGAAAGAACAAGTTTTGGATGAAGAAGGACTCAATACCTTGATGTGCGAAATCGAGTCTATTTTGAATGGAAGACCCATTACCAAATGTTCAGATCAACATGATGACCTGGAGGCCTTAACACCGAACCACTTACTGTTAATGAAAACAAAACCCAACTTACCTCCTGGTGTTTTTGTGAAAAAACACAACTATTGTAGACGACGCTGGAAGCAGATTCAGTACATGGCAAACCTTTTCTGGAAACGCTGGACGCGCGAATATCTACCCTTACTTCAAGAGAGACAGAAATGGTGTGAAGAAAAAAGAAACTTCAAAGTGGGTGATATCGTTCTGGTTGTCGATTCTAATGCTCCGAGGAATTCATGGCCCATGGGTATCATTCAAGAAACTTTACCAGATGACAAGGGCTTTGTGCGTCAAGTGAGAGTTAAGACTTCAACGAACAGTTTGATCCGTCCTGTAGATAAATTGTGTCTTATTCTAAAAATGGATTAATTTCTGTAGAATTTGTATATTTTTTGGACTCTGTTAGCATTATTTTGGAATTTTGTACAATTATGCAGGTATCATGATTTGACAATATTTGTTCTACATAGTAAATTTTTGTCATAGATTTTTTTTTTAAATCAAAATATTGTATGAAAATTGTTTTGAATTAAGCTTTTTGGAAGTAATTGTGTCACTATGCTCCACAATTAGGGGGCTGGGTTGTTATAGCCATTTTACTCATGTTCAAATTTTAGCGCCATTATGTCAGTGTATTACGTCACAAGTTTTTGGGTACACATAATTTTCTTGAGTACTGCACGAGCAGTGACATTCGCTGGAAGGTATCGTTCTCTGGTCTGTACTTTTGTTCAATGCATCTCTGGAATTGGGGAAAAACTACTTATTCGGTAAGCCAATTATTCAAACACCAGCACACCCATATGTATTTGTATGCATTTCTTGTATTTTACTTATGAATCAGTATTTTTTTATACTCTGTTAATGGTCTATATAGTCGAGCATATTGGATAATCATTACATCTTATGTAAAGCTACATTTACAGATTTATTATATTGAACACAATATTCTTAAACTATTTATAAGATTTATTGATAGGTCTGCTTATCTGTTGTTTAGGATAGGTGTTAATGCATTAGGCTTAAACTGTGTATCGCAAGGGCGATAACTCTCATATCCATTTGTAAACACCAGTTTCGAAAGTTAGATATTTTTATGCATACTCAGTAATATATAGAACGTTAACTTATAATGTATCATTTTTGGTTATAATCTTTGGTATTGATAGCATATATACTGGAATATATTCCATATGTCAATATGTCAATTTTCTAGTCTGAATTGTCTCTGTTTATTGGTATTGCATTGTGTTACAAGAATTTTTTTTTACAATTTTGTTTATTTACTTTACAGTAAATCGTATGTTGACGTAGGATGAACCGTATGATGAAAGTATGATGAATCGTATGATGTCAGTCATGTGATGATGTATTATGGATTGCATGAGAACTATGACATATGATGAAACTTATGAGTGAATGTTCCTATGAATGAAGTTGAATAAAGACATACGCATTTACAATTTCTCAATCTTTCTCTGGGCATTGAACAGTACACGCCGTTTGACACTACTGAAGCATTCAGTCATCTAATGTGACGTATGTTGAGCTATTTCCACGTTACGGTAAAAGAAAACGCCGCTGAAATATCACAACACATTAAATAACTGATGTACAACAAGATATATGTTATGTTCAGATAATTTCACTTTACTGTGTCTTTCTTTTCTTTCTATCTTCTATTCTCTTTACCTTTTATCTAATAACTGTTTAACGATGTTGTCTTTATTTCTGGTTGATTGATAAATTAAACGTTACTTTAACACAATAAATAATTGTATCTAAGCCGGTTTAATTCAACAGTCAAGTTTCTGCTGTTTTAGTTTGACGTTTCTATCTTCTTTCTATCTGCTTTTCTTTCTATCCTCTCTTATCTTTGATCACTCGATAAATACTTGTCTTGGTCGTATGTTTCTAAACTATTACTAAATCTTAACTGAACTTAATTAATCTGTAACTTAACTTATACCTTGCTTTAATTACCGCCAGACTCTTACAACGTTAATGTAAACGCCCGATGACAGACGGCGGTAGAACCAAGCACTGATGTTCAGAGAATTTGTAGAAAAGCTTATCAACTAATTGTATAATATACTGATGATGTTATATGAATTAACTATATCAAATAGATTCACTTTTATTCCACAGAGCTAAGATGTAAAACCGTTACACTAGAAAATCAATCTAGTCTACTGTAGAGTGAGAAGCACGTGCGCTTCGATCTATATTTAGCTTTTACAGGTAAACCGGTTTGCGTGAACTAGCTCTGTGAAACTACACAACAAAAATATACAATATCAAAAACACAATATATATCTCTACTTTCCCCCAAAATATTTTTAGGGAACTTAGAGAAAAAAGAAATATATGATTACTCTAAATCCTAATTCAACGACGAGTCGAGAAAAAAAAAAACGGCGCTCCTCGAAAATTGTCAACACGAGTGACAATAACTTTTTCAATAGAAAAAAAAATGTTTGTCTCGTGCAAATATGAACTAGATAAACAATTTAGAATAAAGTTCAATAGTTGTGGCACAAGTGACCAAAATTCAATGAGTCGAGAGAAAAAAAAAACGTAATTTGCACAAGCCAATAAAAATGTTCGAAATTTTCGTACTAACGTTTACAAAAACGCCTGTACGAAAATATAATACTAAATATAAAACTAAATACTAATGAAAAATGAAACTTCAAAAATAATTGGAAAGTGATATCACCATGTGTTCTAATGCGACTCACGAGAGAAAAAAAGAAAAATGGCAAATTAGTCAAATTGTCTGAACTTTGCAAATAACGTTAATTATAACGCCTGTGAGCAACAGTTTCCTAAAATTCCAAAATGACTAATTGCAAAAGATTTCACTCACGTGTTTTTACTCACGAGTGGAAACTCACACGTGAATTGTTGCAAGTAAAATACATGTAAATAAAATATGCCCCGCTCCGAATTACCGGCGACGCCAATGTAGTAAAATTATACCATTTTACTATGAATAAATGTCGCCTACCTTACAATCAAAGGTGACGACGAATACCCAGGTTTACATGGTGGGTAAACACAGGTACATGCAACAATATAACAAACAGGTAAACGTGGTGAAAGGTTTGACTGGTAATTCTCGACTGAGGTAGGAAACGTGCCGGCACGGGTGGATGGCTATAAGGTCAGGGTGAAAGGTCATAGTGGACATTTACCTATGCAATTTCACTACAATAATGTATGAAAGTTTCACAATAGCATAGGATTTTAACACAATCTGTAAAAGGAAGGTGAAGGACTATCAAGAAAATCAAGTAGATGATCAACAATAACACCTTATCCCAGATCGCTTCACTTGGTACATACCTTCAGATCATGGGCCCATACTGGTAAACAAACATGTCTTCCGTATAATAATAACACTCGGAGTTCCTCGGATGGCTCGTACCTCGCACATATGAGAGCGTAGCGGACTCAGCCGAGGATTGTCAATTGTACTAATAATACATTGATTCAAGGGAAATAATCTTAATGCTACTTTCGTTTTAGCTTTTTGTTCAAATGTATTGAAGGATAACCACCTGGAAGGACGGGGTCTGCCCACTAGTTCGAAGGTTCATTAGTCCGAAGGCCCACTAGTCCGAAGGTTCAGTAGTCCGAAGGTCCACAAGTCCGAAGGTTCAATAGTCCGAAGGCCCACAAGTCCGATTGAAAAAAAGTTACAAACTTTATGTTTATATAGATAAGTTAATTACAAATAAAAAGTTAAAGACTATAGCAATGATTTGCTGACTTTTTGAAGATATTGCCATTCTTCCGTGAAATAGGTAAAGGTTCAGTATTTGACAATGTAAAAAGAGAAGATATAAAACCGTGGGTATGATTTTTTTTTATTGAAAATCTAAATTCTACGTTATATATATTTTTTGATTTGCATATGGATTTAGATATGAATGAAAAAAGATGAACAAAAGTATCTTGGGGCCTGGGGTGTTTTTCCGGGAAGGGGGGGGGGGGTCTTGTCCACATAAGCACATACAGCTGAGTGGAGCAAGTGTCTTACCACAAGGCCACCATAGTCGATCATGGTATAGAAAAAAGAAATCGGAACATGGAAATATGCAGAAAATAGGATGGAAGTTTCAAATTTTATTAATAAACTTATGTTGCAGTATTTTGTAGCCTGAATTTCAAGAACCTCAAAGTAACCTGAGTAGTAACCTGTTAAGGTACAAAATAGAAAAAATTGCAAAGCAGGCACGTAGCATCGTTTTTAAAAGTCAGGGGGGGGGTGGGGGCAACCTGAAAAAATTCTTTACTTACCTGCCTGAAAAATTAACAGGCCCGAAAATTAAAAGTTGTCCAAAATCGAAAATCCCAATTTCGTTTGGGGGATATTATTTTCCTTATAACACTACACTGCCGTGAAATTGTGGGGGCTTCCTTTTCCTATAGTAAAGGTAATCTTGAGAGAAAATGGCAGCCCCCCCCCCCCCTCTCCACCCCAAATACTACGGGCCTGCAAAGAGACTTAATTACAGTGTGAACACTTTAATGTACGGACAATATATCGGTATTAGGGTTAAAACTAGTGAATCTTCGGATTAGTGGGCCTTCGGACTAATGAACCTTCGGACTAGTGAACTTTCGGACTAGTGGGCCTTCGGACTAGTGAACCTTGGGACTAGTGGGCGTTCGGACTAGTGAACCTTCGGACTAGTCCTGGAAGGACAGGTGGATTTTAAATGAATTTAATAGAAATTGAATGC